AGCATAATCAGCAATGTGATACCTTACTTCCCATCACCCCTTGCACGCCGATAAACTAAAAGCTGGAATTGCCTATTGATGCTAAGGTTACATTTATTGATATATAAGGTTACAAATTAGCGCCAATCCGATACGGAATGTACAACTTTCGGAATCTGAGCGAAACAATTACATCTCTCCGTTGCAATAATTCCTCCCAAAATAGCATTCCGGTAAAAGGTATACGGATAGGTGTTTTTTTTTCACGTCGCTACAGAAAGCTATCCGCTTTTAAAGCTACCTCTTTAATTAAAACAGATTTTTAGTGTTCTACTCAATAATTCTTGATGTGCTGGAAAACTGAATATATATTGCCTATTGCTCTATAAATATTCATTGCTGTAAAATATGTCCAGGGTAAAAAACATAGTCTATTAAGATGCATGCGATGGTCTGGAATCCCCGCAAACTTCAAAGCCACAAAATAGAAGACCTTTGCCACTGTATACCTCACCGTGCACAAATCCTTTGTCTAAAGCCCGATTCTCATATGTCGCCGACGTCGGCGATGCAAATTTTTTTTCCGTAGACAGTCGGACTCTCATTTATAGTCGGACGCACCATTGGTCCAGGCCTCCGCGCGTTATCAATGGATCCCTTCGTAACCCACTGGTGCATCATATATCCATCACTCCACGTTGTTCTTCTTCGACCACGTGTCAGATGAATGATTTACTTCGCGATGCCATAATAAATCTACAAACTTGTTTTTCTGGTTCCGAAAATACTCAAGAACGGTTATTGCGAGTTAAAACTATATATCATCCCTATTGAAGAGAATCAGGATAAGATAACTAGCGTGCAATTAAAGGAAATAGTGGAAGAATCAAAGCGACAATCAATACCACTTTCCACAAATAGTGAAATAGAAGTATTGCAGAATATCCTGTGAACGGAATACATATCATGTAGTCCGGCCACTATTTCACTGGAAACGTATATGCCAGATCTTATTGCCTCGTTCTAATATACAAGTTGAAACTATTAATTACCAAGACAATATTACGAATTGATACTATAAAGGAAATATCATGGAAAACTTTTAATGTTTAATATTATGCTTAGTATGTTTTATAATATAAAATATTTTCTCCCAGCCACGCTAATTAATCATAATCTGTCAAACACCAATGTCCGGTTGTGAGGAACATATTTGCATATTACACCACATTTAAGCTCTCTATAGGAGGGTCTTAATGGAGGTCTTTGGGTGTCAGTTGTCAGCTAAAATTTAAGCCAATTGTCAGTTGTCAGTGCGATATATTGCAAGCTGTCAGTAGTCAGTTACTGCAAAATGCTGACTTATAATTTTTTTCATCATTTCTCAGTAGTCAGTTAGGATATTTTGTCAGTTGTCAGTCAAAAATTCAGGCAAATGTTAGTAGTCAGCTAACCCCATTCAGACCCTCCTATAGCATGAGAATTTAATCTATGAATTGGCACTAGCTAACTGTCGCCTTAATCTCAAAACAACTACTTGACTGTGTGTCCACGCATTCGCGTATCCACTAAAATATAGAGCTACCTATGACACCTATAGCATGAGAATTTGATCTAATGCTTTAAATCTAACTGTTTGCCTCGTTCTCAAAATAACTACTTGACTGCGTATCCGCGTATCCACTAGAATAAAGAGATATACATTTAACACGGACAATTTAATTTATTAATGCTAAGTCACTATATATGCCTCGTAGCTATTACCGGGCCACCGTCTATTTATTATTAATCTATTGAGATTAAATGTAGATCAGTATTAATACATCGCATCCATGATGTTTGAAAGGCATAGCTTAAAAAGTGGATGGGTATTCTGCAATGCCAATCGCTGTCAGATGTCATCACCACACAAGGTATGAAGCCACAGATTTTGACATCTCAACCAAGCAATACTGATTTTGAAATCACCAATTGCGTGCGACGAGTATCCGCTGAATATTTTGTTTTAAGGGCGCGGGTCAATGATGCGTCCGACTATCAATGAGGAGTCCGATTGTCTACGGGAAAAAAATTTGCGTCGGCGATGCCATTGTTTGAGATCAGTGAAGAAGAACATAGACAAAAGATTTTACTCACCAATGATCAACGACAGTGGGCATCGCCGATGTCGGCGACATATGAGAATCAGGCTTAAATATTATTTATCGTACGGCTGCACGTTTCATCTCAGCTATCCCTATTGGATGATTACTTAATTAATTATTGGATGATTACTTAAAAAACTGAATACAATGAGCTCAATTACCGTGACCGTGTGACATATAATTATTAACATAAACTCAGACAAAAACATATAACAAACACTTCTCGGTTTACTTTCCACACCATCCGTGATATCTTGATAGAACTATGGTAAACGGACTCGACAGTAATTTTAACCCGGTCCGTCTTTTTTATCAGTAGACTTCTGGCATCAAGAGTTAACTACAGTCTTCAGTTAACTACACCATGATTAATCTCTATGAAACACATTGTCTCACATTGACTGTCTCAGCAACTTATTCTCGTCATGATCACTTCTTGATTAGTTACTTAAGTGCATCTTATAATAACCAGGGCAGGTACCGATTCCAACCCCATTGGCGACAGCTGGTAAATTTCGTTAGAAATAATGATATTTGAAATAATCAGTATTTAACATAAATACCAGATTCGGTATATATATATATATATATATATATATATATATATATATATATATATATATATATATATATATATATATATATATATATATATATATATATATATATATATATATATATATATATAGATACATACATACATAAGAATCACAAGAATGTCGAAGGAACTAATTTGTATACTGATAACTGAATTTAAGCTCTTTCATTGGTCGAGAGCCATGATCTATTAGAGGACAGACGCACGGAATTACGTCACAATTAAGGTAGCCAATCGCATTCCCTTATTTGTATAGATCATGTACGGGTGATATTTGTAAAATTTCGACTTTTTCAAATTTCCAAATGTTTGGGTGGATAAAAAGTAAGCTATTCACCTTTTTATTATATAACCCAAATATACATAAGATTTTGCCGTTTTCTGCCGGTTAAGCTATAGTTATAGATACACAATAGACAGATTTAGATCGAGGACACGGCCGTCAAAGACGACGTGAAAATCGCGTCAAAATGGCGTGGAATATCCATACATGGGCACAACACGCCATTTTCACGTCTTCTTAGCCTGCGAACAGGCTCTCAAGCTGAATTGAGAGCCTGCATCGATGACTAATGAATTTGAATATCTGCGTCTCAAATCGTGACGCGAAATTCTCATTGGTCAGATGCTATAATTTATATGTTTCCGCTGAGCTCTATATATGTCAACTGCTGAAGCACTATGCATAAAAACACATTAACTGATCAAATTGGTCTTGGCCATCTTATCTCAAAGCACAAAATGTTCTGTTTTGAGAAAACAGTATTTAAAACATTGGAACTTTTGCTTGAATATCTTATATTTCGAAAAACAGTATAAACTGTACGGTCTAAATTTAGTTTGCACGGTCTAAATTTAGTTTGCACGAAAGTTGTAAACAACACCATATAAGGATAGACATTCCATATTTGGAAAAACGAACGTTACGGGGCAGATATTCAAATTCATTAGTCATCGATGCAGGCTCTCAATTCAGCTTGAGAGCCTGTTCGCAGGCTACGTCTTCTTTGACGTCCGCGTTCTCGATCTATATCTGTCTAATGTATGACATCCTGATGTGGGAGGAACAAAAATGTGACCCATTCGTCTCGGCAGCTCGTGCCCACTTTTTTGTTTTTCCCACATTATGACGTCCTACTGTGTATCTATAACTGAACAGATAACGGCAAGATTTATAAATATAGACAGTGATGGCCTATAGCTACTTTACACGAGTTTAAAAAATTGTCAGAACATCATACCTGAGTGTAACTATATACTACTATATTTTGCTGACTAGAGTCATATATAATTGTTTTGTCTTGCATATCAGCATTGAATTAAATGACTTATATAAATGTATTTATTATATAGTAGAGAGTGAGATACTGAAAAATACCGGCACAGTGAGAAATTTTCCGTATCTTCACTGGTGAAGATATCGATCACATGACTTTTTCCAATTCGCATTAATTGCATCAAGTGCGAAATTTCACACTTTTTTTTTGCTTGGGACTGTATAATGAAAAGAACATTACACGGTGGCTTGAAGATATGACTTTTATCTTCTTGTGTTAAAAACAATATTTTGGCACCACTCGAAGATAAAAGTCATATCTTTGCGCCGCCGTGTAATATCCTCTATTTATATAATGGCACAAAAAAGGTATAGTTAATTAACAGTGAATTAAGATACGCCCGTACTGTTACGCATAACAGTCATTTAATAACACGTTATTGTAGGAAAATAGAATGTTAATATATAATGAAGAGTTAGCAACGAGGCGTTCGCAATCGGCTGTTTCGAGCTTCCCACCCATGCTCCCCCCACCCTCAGGGGTCGGTTTCGCTTTTCTCGCTGTTTGTTACGCTTCAGTTTCCATCCACGTGGGTTCCTCATGCAGAACCTGCTCGAGGTGACGAGGTCTTTTCCCGATGCCAATCATCCTCTTGTATCTCCTGGGAGTGGGACCATCTCTTCTGGCCTTCTGCTTCGCTTATTTAGTGTAGGTTCGTTCCCCGTTTTCATTGGAGCGATGGAGGAGATTGGTTTGCCAAGGATTTATACAGTAATATCCTTGTGATGTATGCTTGTCTGTAATAGTCATTCTGCATGTGGCCCTAGCGTCACGCTGATATTAATATTGTATTCAATGTTAAGTAAAATGAATTTTTTTTACAAAAGTGATTAATAAAATAATAGTCAATATTGTGTCTGCAGAACGCAAATTAATTATGCATTTCCTCCCCACCCACGCTTGCATAAATTTACATGCCAAATTTAGGATTGTTTGGCCTCACGATCGAACCGGAAACTTGGCAATCGTGATCCGAGTATTTGATCTTAGTGTAAAATGTGAAAATTATATTTCTTTCCGTTTAATTTAACAACTATGTGACTTGTATTACAGGATATCGGTAAATTTAGTATCGGCTAAACTAACTGAATGTTTACTGTATGGCTTTTAAAGTTCAGCGAGGTGAGTGCTTTCTTTCGATATTCTGTGTTTTGATTTTATGGCGTGACCAGCTTCGAACCGACTTGGCAATACCGTGGGAATGCAGAATCAATATGTCAAGCTATATTCATGTCGTCTAGAAAACGTTCATGTTTCATTTTTACTGTTATTTTTGATATCCTCTGACGAGGGAATATTTGATGGGATCATTGTTTCGTTTTGTAGTTTCCAAAGTGAAGCCACCTCCGAACCTTCCTGGTCCTAGTTCCAATAATACAAAACAGAGATTGAACAGCGACAAGGTTGGATATTATTTTAGTTCAGTCTGTATATTAACCTTTCTACAGTAGGTTTATTTATCCTAGATTAAGTGTAGTCGTGCTTCGTTTGTGTTGTGTATAAAGTAGTGTGTGTACAGATTGTGTTTTGATTATTCGACAATTAACAAGAAGCGACTTGCAATAGACCAAAATGCAACATCATTTTTTTACGTATTCTTGCAATCTGCCACTTGTGGTATTACGCATTGAAATCGACTGAAGTGTATAAAATTTCATCATCTCCTAGTTTAGAACATTAAAAAGTCGCAACGCAATGTAGCAAAGATCATATTACTTCATGACTGATCATCAAGATGCTATTAAAATTGACAAGTAAATGCTCATTGAATATGCAAGTTTGTAATATTTGTGAATATAATTTGGTTTTTCTGTAATTCTGCTTTTGACAGGGGTGGATTTATAGTGTTGACAACTTCACTTGGAATTTCATTCTGTTTGGCTAGGCCATTTCCTAGTTTATTTTAAGAATCAACAGTCACTCCATTTGACAACTAGCAATCTGAAAAGTGTTTTACAAATTCCAAATCATGGATGCATTTTAGTATTAAAGTATTAAATAATTTATCAAAATACACCTCGCACAAATAAAATAGAAATTGTGAGGAATATATCTTTGCCAACCAAGGCATTGTTTACATTTGACTGTTTGGATTAATTTTAATTTATAATAATATAGACTGTTTTGTTTTTAATTAGGAAATCATTAGCTGAAGTGTGTTTTTCTAGTGGACAGAGCTTTAAACTTACACAAATATTTAGGTTATAAGCAGAGACATAGAAGCAGCCATTTCTGTAGATAATATTGTGTTTATACCCCTTGCTGGATGAATAAAAGATATCCTTGCCATACACTTATAGGGCTTGAGTAATATTGGGCTCCCACATACTGCTCTCTGTCATGCCCACACACTGCTCAAGTTAACCCATTACTCAACCCTTGAAAAAATTCAGACCTAAATCTGACCCTGGTTGGCACCTCTAGATGGGATACTATCTCCGGCATTGTAATTTTGAAGCAGCAGCAACCAACAGCAACACAATCCAAATTTTGTGTTTCCCACAACTGTATTTTTCATATTCCTATGGCTGCTTTCCATTAGAATTACTTGACAAGCTTCTCAGTTTCATTGGCTGTACTAGGGAAGAATTACAAGCTGTGAACACGGTACCCTCCATGATGGTGCCGCAGTTGCAAGACCTTTCAACTGCTGTCAGCAGCTGGTAAAAGATGGAACACTTGTATATATTCTCACTTGGATTACAAATCCTAACATCCTAATATTAATTCCACCAAGTGAAGTGCAAGAATCTAAGTCATTCAAGTCCACCTTATCACAACCTGCACACCCGATTACCTATATATACATGAAGTTACGGTTACAGCTCAACATCTGGCCTCTGTAGCTCAGTTGGTTAGAGTGCTGCACCGGAATCGCAGGGCCGTAGGTTCAATTCCTACCAGAGGACCTTGTGCTGCATTTTTCACAGTTGTTCCTGGTTAGGTCGTAAAATGTATATATTCTCACTTGGATTACAAACCCTAACATCCTAATATTAATTCCACCAAGTGAAGTGCAAGAATCTAAGTCATTCAAGTCCACCTGATAAAAGATGGCTCTATTGAGAAGAACCGGATTGAGGTCCGCAAAAAATTGCTGACTGCAAATGTTGACAGGTCGGCATTTAGGTCGGCTTTGCTGAATGCCGACCTTATTTCCAGGACTGATTACTAAATTGCATTGCTTCCCTTATGTGCCCTACTTTATTCCAACTCAATGGGTTAATACAGTGTGCCAGACAGTTTTGCCTGTCAAGGTGAAAGTGTGAGGAAGTAATGGATTAATCAGACTATCTGCTGTAATCTGTCTACAGTATGTCTCTTGTTAACACATTAATTTATAAGTTGCAATGTGTCATAATGTGCCCTAGCTATTTTGTTATTTTACTCTGTCTATAGCCAGATGATTTTACTTCTCAATAGGAAAGTGTTGGGCATACTGTAAATGAGCGATTCCCCAGCAATTGTGCCCATGAAATGAATCATAGAATGGAAATCCTGTCAGGGATAACCATATGAATTGAATAAAGTTTCAAAATGTTAAGACAGGGCAATACCATTCAGAAGGGTGTTATGCAAGCTTTCTTGGAGCTGCATGGCAGAATTTGCTGGTGACCATACCTCAGTGGTGTATGTAGCTGAACTGAGACTAAGCCAATGTGTAATAAATGTTATGTTGATTTAAGGACATGCAGTGTTTGAGATTACATTTTTTTTCTGGCATTCATTGTGTATACCAACATTTCTTAACCTGCATCATAGCAATGAACAATGTCTGGCACATCACTCACACCTAAGGGAAGAAAAATAAACCAGAGCTGTACGAATTTCTCAGACGCTATTGAACCACATCACTCAGCTCTGCAGGGAAAGCACCTGATGAAGTCCCATTTAATTTCCTATTCAATTGCAAATTCCAATTCCAACTCCCACAGAAAAATGAACCAGTTCGAGTCCCTGAAATATCGCAACGTTCGAAACATACAGTAGAAGCCAAAGCCACACAGAAAGCTGACAAGGATGCCAAGACCAAATCACATGCAGTAACATTAAAGTGAGAGATCAAGTTCTCCTACTTTTAACAGAAACAGTCCAAGGCAAACCCAAGATATGACCCAAAGCCAAAGTTACTAACATCTAGGGAACACAGATTAGGTGTACAGTAGCAGGAGGAGCCAAGATTAAAAAACGAGTCCATCCTCAATGTCATCACTAATAAGGTGTATGGAGATGCCCAATACCCTCTCAATCTACACAAGGATGATACTTTTACTGTACCTTTGACTGGGCACTAACCATAGGAACAACCCACAACACCAAGACCATCTGGCAGACCCAATATCGCAACACCAGTATCCAAATGGACATTTGGACATCAACCTCAACCTGGACCAATAAACCAGGGCTGCAAAATATAGCGGACCACGGGACCATTGGTCCCAGAATATTTTTGAGGTTGGCAGACAAAAATTGGAAGAAAGTGTGTTTTACTAATTTTAGTGACAATCATACTTTACTTAGCTTACTGGAGATCATCCATATAGATAAAAATACATAAGAAAAATACATAAGGGCTCGTTTATAACATAAAAGAATATTTATTCGGTAGCCATGTTGGAATAAGGTCTATTTCCAAGACCGAAATGATGTTTAGAGAGAAAGATTGCGAAAAAGGAGGTTGCCAAGGCAACAAGAGGAGCGAAGTGGAGATAATTTCGTTGTGTCGAAAAGATCTTAGGCTAATAAAACTTGTAGAATTTACCAGAATATTACAGATTGTATCGCAGTCGGCTAAGCATGGTGTTAGATCATTCAAGCTCATGGTGAAAAACTCATGAATTTACAATGAAACAACGAGAACCATCTCTATTTTACCAGAACATCTCAAGACGACTTGTCTACGAACAACTCTTGAGCCTGGGTGTACTTGAAATACAGGATGGTCTCGAAGGTAATCCAGATGCGATCCTCACCGAATACCAACTCCCACGACTTCTTTGGAAAGCTGGATATCCACCTCTATCAACCAATGGGATAACAAGAAAGGCAAGGTTAGAAGAACCATTTGAAAAAAACCTTGATAGGAAACCAGAAGTTATGGTGCAGTATGTTAGCATAATACAAGAGCAGATGAAGCAAGGAACAGGCCCCTGAGCCACCTGCCGGTGAGAGAGTTTTATCTACCACATCAGCTACAATCTTTGACAATATACTGTAGATTGGGACGATCTAGTTTTCACATGCATTCGGTTGTAATATACCATTTCCTGATACATTTTCCCACCCTCCCTCTCCCCACCCGTTTCAATGTTGGCGCCGCGCATCCAGACATCAGCTTTTTGTTTGCTCAGCATTGAACTGGGGGAACGGGGGCAGCTATTCCTTTCAAATTATATGAAATTACAGCAGCTGTCCCATAGTTTCTGGCAAAGGTTGTAGTTATTAATGAGACCACTAATGTTGGGTTTGCCTTTGATCGTCACCGAGAGAGAATTCAAATGTACTTATTGGTCATCGTTGAACGAATGTCTCCATGGGGGCCACCATTACAGTCATTACTTCACAACGTGCTTATTAGAAATTGGTTGAAGGTCAGGATGACAACAGACATTAAGCAAGCATTGCATCAGATTTGGGTGGACCCGCAAGTCCGAGACGCATTGCAGTTCTTCTGGATTGAAGATTTGGAAACGAAGGAAATTGTTACACTTCGACAGCGCATCAAGCCCATTCTTATGTACTTGGAGGAACATTTAATATACATTTAGAGAATTTCCTGGGACAAACCTAATGAATTAAATGCAAGCATAATGAAGAGTTCACAGCTTTACAAAAGATATAGTTACACATTAATTACATCACAAAATTAATATAATGGAAGGAAAAAAAGAGAGTTGATTATAGTATTATATTTTTTACAGTGGCCAAACAAGCTGAGAAGCTTTCGAGTTGGCCACCGTTTGATGCTGGAGACATGGAACAGTCTCTTACGAAAGAAGGTAGCAGAATCGTGGAAGAAATGGCTGGAGGGTCTTCCTGAAGAACCGTTCGAAGAAGCGTAACCCCTCACAAGGAGGAGATAACCGGGATAGTCTTGCGTGGGTTCGGGGATGCAAGTGGAATAGATACAGTGCAGCAATTTACGCTATTGTTCATCAGAAGGAAAAGATAACCCAAGGATTGGTTGCATCCAAATCAAGAATGGCGATGTCCAACCATCCCAAACCCTACGGATATCAGTAGCCAAGGCGCAAATATTATAACTAGCTGAGAGGTTCTACATGGTGGACAGGACCGAGATGGTTAGCTGACGAAAGCGGGTGTGATATATAAATACAAAAATGGTGAGCGAAGAACACAAAGTAGCACAGCAACTACACACAATTGTTATGAAAGAGAACAATCTAAATGATCTCCTTGTGAAATGGAAACTCTGGTGGCTTTTGCGGATGAATAAAATAATTATCAGATGAATGTATCACCCAATGGAAAATAGGAGTTGTTGAAAAATTAATCAGTGGAAAGGACGGAGTGGTTCGAGGTGTCATACCTAACACTCGTAATGGAAGAAAGGAAAGATCACATCAACATCTTTACCCGTTGGAGTTGTCAAGTTTGCCTGGACAGATCGATGAGATTGAGAATTTATGTCTAGCTCGCACTCGGAAGGGGTCAATCAAGCTCCAGGAATCATAAGCTCAAAAGTCAGAATCCAGGCGAATTTTCAGCAAAAATAAATAGTCTGAAACTGTCCTTCTTCTAGTAATTCCGGGCCCCCAAAGTTCGCAGGGCCCCTGTCCGCGTCCGATTGCCCGACGGCGACCGCTCGATCCGCCCCTGTTAGCAGTCTTTAGGTTTTTTACTGTACATACAGTAATATTTGTGATTTCATACAGTGGGGGTCAAAAGTCTGAGTCCAGTCAATATGCTTTTGCCTTTTATTGATATACAATATATTTTCACACAATAGAGCACTATATGTGCCTCAAATAAGGATTTACATCAACGTTGGAATTGATTATACTATATTAGTCAAGTGAACATCATTTAACATTTTGTGTGACCTCCTTTTGATTTTAAAATAGCTTTAACTCTTCCTGGCATAGATTCAACAAGTTTTCTAAGTATTGCTGGCTTAAGGTTGTTCCAGCATTGATTAAGGACATCCCATAGGTTTTCTTTACTTGTGGGATTATGTTTCACTTTCTCCTCGTTTCAAATGATCCCATAAATTCTCACTGAGATTTAGGTCCCGAGATTGAGGAGGAAAATCCATAACAAACCAGATCACCTTTCTCTTGCTTCCTTCTTAAGTATTTTTTACACATTTTAAATAATTTTGACACGGTGTGTTTCGGATCATTATACCGCGTTACAAGACAAATCCCCTTCCACACAACCTTAAGCTAGATGGTATGGCTTGTCTTTGCAGGATAGAGTGATATTTTTGTTTCGTAAAAATTAATTAATAAGTAGAGAGCAAGAGAAAGGTGATCTGGTTGTTATATGGATTTCGTCCTCAACCTCCAAACCTAAAATCCTTAATCCTATTGAGAATTTATGGGAACATTTCAAACGAGAGAAAGTGAAACATAATCCCACAAGTAAAGACAACCAACCTATGGGATGTCGTTGATTAATTATGCTGGAATAACCTTAAACCATCAATACTAAGAAAACTTGTTGAATCTATGGCTATGCCAGGTCGAGTTGAAGCTGCATTAAAATCAAAGGGAGGTCACACAAAATATTAAAATAATGTTCACTTGGCTAATATAGTATAATCAATTCCAACGTTGATGTAAATCCTTATTCGACATACATACAGTATAGTGGTGTGTTGTGTTGTGTTGTGTTGTGTTGTGTAAGAATGTATTGTATATCAATAAAAGGCAAAATTATATTGACTGGACTCAGACTTTTGACCCCCCACTGTATGTAAACTATTTGAGTTTACCTACAAAATATTTTAAATTAGTATAAAATATGCAAAAGAACACAGAAGCTGAGTAGCATCGAAAAAATACTTCCTTGATAAATTCTTCCTCGCACCAGCGCCGTCTACAACTACTTTTTGGAATCGTCCTTTGTAGATGATCTTTAAACCATTTTTTGCTTACAGTTTATAATGCACCATTTTCTATAATTTTGTGGAATCACGTGGTCCACATGGTGTTTTTGGTATAAATGCTCCATCCCGCCATAATATAGTACAGTATTTTTAATTGTGCTGACATTAATTGTAATTATTCGACCACTGATTTTACCTGATCCATGTTTTTAATTCTGAGGTGAAGTACGAGACTACGAGTGTAAGATAAGTTCTAAATTAATGTAGAAAACATTTCAGTTGCTAGACCTCAATATTACCCCACTCCTGCTCATCGTTGTTATAGACTAATTTTAAAACTAGGCAAGGAGATGCTAATAAATCACCACAGCTAGAAAAAACATACTAAATGAGTAAAATTGCAAAGTTTGGTTGCGAAATGTTGTAAAATGCGGAAAATATATCCTTGCAAAGTTTGCAAATTTTGTATACTTTTGTCTTGCGTGCGGAAATTGCTACGATTTTCGGCCCAAATGTGTATAGTATACAAAATAGTATACAAAATTTGCGAACTTTGCACTGCTATATTTTCCGCATAAATTTACAACATTTCGCAACCAAACTTTGCCATTTTACTCATTTTAGTATGCCCGGGAATATACTTTTTTGACAAGATAACAAATTAGTCTATAATGGGAATTGTCTATTCTGAGGCGGACTTGTACCAAGTTTACACTCCTGTAGACGTCCCGTCGCGCCTCTCATGCATACAGCTATTTCAATTAAGGATGTCCACGAGCAAAGCGGAAAAGTCGAATACGAGCGCGAAAGGCTGCTGGGAATCGCTATTAAAATTCATTAATTTGTTAGCGATTCCCAGCAGCCTTTCGCGCTCGTATTCGACTTTTCCGCTTTGCTCGTGGACAACCTTAATTGAAATAGCTGTATATAAAGTGAAACTGAACCAGGGATGGAAAAACATCCCGTCGGCGTCGCGGCAAACGTCCAGTCTTGCCACTCATATATTAACAGAGCCTAAAATGTAAAGTATTCCCTATAAGCTGCCATGGCTTTTAGCTGCACGGTAATCCCGCATATTTTGTTCCTTTCAGGATAATCCACCACGGTTAAAAAGCAGTGGTAAAAAGCCGAAAGTACCTGGTAGGTTTTCATAGCACCAGGAATACTGTAGACAAGTGTCGATGTGAATCTACCCAGAAATTATCATTATTGAACTTTATTTAAACATTGTACCGGTAATTTCGTGGGAAATATTGAAACTACTTAAGGTGGAGTAATACGGCAACAAAATTGCTGCAACTTGCAACAAAATCTGATTTCTACGCAT